TACTATAACTATTCTCAATGATTAATTGTCAATACTTGGTTTGTAAATTTCTCTGTGATTTTCAAGAACCTGAAATATAATGAAATATGTGTCGTAATTATGCAGCGGATTGCAGCCATCAAATCAGAGAATTATACAAAGGGAGTAGAAAAAATGTGTGAAGAATTGGATGTACGGAATTCGGGGGGGGGGAAACCTTATATGTATAGTACGTAATATTGTTAATAAAAACGACTCCCACTCACAGGATTCGTGAATATTACATGAAACGTGGGAAATATAATCGTGAGAAAAATACGCGAATGAAAAACACAGGCACACAAAAGAAAGCTGTCAGACCTATAGACTTGACACACGTTTCTCTGTGTATTTCAACATGCTGAATCACATTCTTAAGCCTGAATTGTGCCATCAGCCTCCAATTTGTTTAAATCTTTAACAAACTATCGTGACATTATATTTTTTGTTTTCGTGTGTTGTTGTCAGACTCGAAGCCATTTCACATGATTCGCTATGTACATCAACGTGCTGAATCCGAATCTGAAGCCAGAATTGCGTCACCAACCTCCAGTGGTTTTTAAATCGCAAAAATACTATAATAATATAAATATTTTGTAGTTGTAGGAAGACGTCGAAAAATTGTGACTCTTTGAAAACAATTTTCGAAAAATCAGGGTTTTCAACGAATACTTTTGGTATATGACTATACCATCTCAATCTTTTAGAATCATTTAGATCTATTATATCAATACCCCCAAAATATCAATACCAATACCCGGAACACCGAAAATTGGAGTAGCGGTAATTATTATACGGCCCTTTCATACACGAGAGGAGATAATGTAAAGAAAAATTGGAGCCCTCACACATACTCACAAACACATACCTTACTAACACACTCATACATACACACCACTACTTTATTTTGGTCCAAATTTCTCTATGTTCACTCTCCATTACTGCCCATCGTTTGATTTAAACTTTCGAGCAACTGTTCTTTCGACGCCGGGGACGAATTCCACAATTAATTTTGGAAATATACACGTCATTTATCGAATTACAGTCATTATTAATTTATTAATGTCATAACTGTTCTATCTAGGGTCACACACTCATAGCAGTGCATCTTTTTGCGTGATCCGTCATTGATGCCGTTATACCATACGGTATCATTCGGGTATTATTCGATGTTTCAGCTCTAATTTATGGCGGTAGTTCCAACATCAGTCTTCCTGACTTTCATAGTTGGATCGGGAGCAAGTGACCAACTTCACTCCAACACTGACATGTCATACTTAATTAAGTACATTTTTAATCACTCGGGAACGTATTTTACCAGGAAATGCATTTCTTATTTTTTAAGAAACAACTATAAAATTTTAAATGGCCGACCAAATTTAATACGGTGGATGGCGTTTTACTAAAATGAGCGAAACCATATACAACTCTCGAAAGACCGGAGACAGAAAGTTTCGTTTCCATTTAAGTCTGCATTGGAAACTGGTAGTATTGAGATTTTTATATTTTTTCGCAACATTCTCTGTATCAAAAGAAAGCAATAATACCTCCTAAAAGTCCAAAAGGCTAAATAATTTTATCTGAAATTCTGCGCGCAATGGAATTGTTAATACAGCCGTTTTGTACTTTCCTGAGCTCCTGGGTATGTAATGAAAGCATGGACATCTCTTACGTTATCTGAGGATGCATAGTTTTCTTTCAAAACTCTTTGGAATGGAAATTAATAATATACATATTTTGTCTTGCTTTCAAGTTTTCGGGTACTTAACTAAATCGGCTATAAACAGGTCAGAGGCTGCACCCATTTCTTTCAATTTCTGTGTACATCGGAAATGAATAACGTAAAGGTTTTTGTATTTTCCCGTTCTTGGGTATTTAGGAAAACCGTAAATACCTTTCATAATGCCCAGACGTGGCTTAGGTTTCTTTCAGTTTCTATGTGCTTTCGAAATTAGTAATACAGATTTCATTGAGGAATATACACTTCGGAGGAACTCGGCTGAACGGTTTTGCGTGTAGCTTTCATAGACGTTTGGTCGTCATGCGATTTTTTGGTATCAAGAGCCCACAAAACATAGATTCTGGCTACACCACGTAATAAAGGATTTCTTTTTAAACTTAGCAACTGGATTTATCCACTTTTTTGTTACCAGGACCCTGTAATAAGAGTTTTCTGCCGAAACTTTACCGTGTTTTCACGAAGCATTACACAACGTTCTCTCTACTCCGTAGGGAGAAAGTAAAGAGCACCCCTGTCAATTCAAACTATACTTATTTAACTTTATTAGACAGGTACACCCGTTCTATTGAATCGCTGCGAATATAAGTAATTAGTTTAATTTCACACACAAGTTTAGATTCTGCAAATCTCTGAACAGGTGGGGTAGAATCGAGAATGGAGAAACGCCAAACCAGAAAAACTGTCGTCCAAGTAGATCTCATTCTGAAGATTACGGTTATAGAAACGTTTCTTTCAGGCGTTTGATCCCATAATTCTTGGTTTTAAGGCTCTGAAACGCTTCGGTTTGGAGCTATATAACTACATAAATTTCAACAACACTGGTGAGTATTGCGGGTTGCATTGTCGTGAATATTTTTACGCATTTTTGTTTCTTCAATAAATTCTTCATATTTATAAAGTTAAAATGCAATTCGAAACATCTCTGTGAACTTCTTTTTTCTTTATATTCTTCATTTATAAAGATTGGTTGCGTGTGAGAGCAACAAAACTCGTCTGTACTACTGAAATAATACAAGAGAGGTTGGAAAGTATTGATCGATTATAATGTATATGAATAATATCCATACCGTAATTTTATCGAGAATTAGACTATTTGAAAACGTCTGCGTTGTGGATCGAAAATTTTAAAGACGAAAACCACACTGAGCAGTTACAAAAATATATTGTTGAAGTTTTGAAATGATTTCAGGAAAACGAATGAAAATAAAGCCAGATGTAAGCAAAACAATTAATTATACGATGGTCCGATCACTGGAAACACTAACACAATGGGTAGAAATAAAACTTCTGAGGTACGTTGCTGAAAATTCCTAGGCTAATAATTCTAAGCGACCTCAGTTGGGTTGATCACGTTAGATATACTTTACAGAAGGCTGAAAGCTCTTCATTTTGTTATATGCGAATTACGAAAAGCTATATGTAAGACAGGCTTATACGTTCTTGATTCATCCCGTAATTGAGTAGCGTGCTGGGATCCTCGAAAGGAAGGTCAGATTGAAACATTAACATGAGTGCAGAAAAAAGCGGCTACATTTGCGAACGGCAACGGGGATGCCGTTCAAGGCACAACAAAGCAAAAGGAATGGAAATCTATCAAGTGAAAAAATTGAAATACCATGTTACCTAAGTAGGGGCGATAACTCACATAACGTAAAATGCAGAAAACAAAAATAATGTTGGAAAATTAAGCTTTGTAAATAGAAGCAATGCTGACAAACAGTTTATCTGTTGATGTCCTAGTGCCCCTCAGGAGTGCCCCACACGCGAGACATGCGTTCCAGAGTTCTCAAGAGGCCAAGAGTGTAGTGATGTGCACTGAAGAGAGGTTTTTCATGATAAGAAAATGCCTGTGAAAGTACTCTGCATGTACTTACCGTTAATGTATAAATTTCTGGGTGAAAAGGCTCACGCAGTGAAGCGAAGTGAAGTTTACGTGAAGGGAAGAGATGGGTATGGAGTAGAGATGGGACACAGGCTATTTTTTATATTTGTCTCTGTGTTTTGATTTGTTTTGTTTATTTGTATTATACAAGTTCTTGAATAATTGCATATTGATCAGCATTCAGCATTTCTATGCTGAACTCATTTTTACAGCCCAAGGTTGTTAGCAGTGGTGGGAATTGATAATTTTTTATTGTTTCCTTTTAATTTTTACTTTCGTTCTATTTTTGCTTAACTTGCAAAGGGGCGCAGATTCTTTGCAAGAATTTTTATTATTATTATTTATTATTATTATTGTTATTATTATTCTTTTTATTATTACATTATAATTATTATTATTAAATGCCACAATAGCCACACAAGTTTTCTTAGGAACATCCGTCAACGAGACGCCTCCAGAAGGTGGGGTTCCCTACGTCGTCTGCAAAAGGAAGACACGTGAGCAACCTATTGTGGCAGATAGGGCATATGTTGTATGTGGAATGTAGTATGGACGGCCACACGCGGCTCGGCTAACAGCAGAACATCTGCAGCGATTCCGCTGGGAGGGGTTTGACCATTAAATCTATAGTCAACACACAGTCGATGTCACGATAAGACAAATGTATACATTCTGGTGGTGATTATGTGAAAAAATAGTGCGTACTTGTATGTTGTATCTGTAACGATAAAGTTTACTCGTACAATTGTGATTTCTTGTTGTTGACTTGCTTTCTGGAGGCTTGCTTGCTGGAAACTCATAAATTACAATCTTGTTTGGATTTTTTTCAAGCAAACATTTTTGCATAGCTGTGGTAAACTGTGCCCACATCCTCCTATTTTATTACAGAGTTCGTGAAGCCTGTTCTTTTTAATATTCAATTTATTGCAGAGAGTATTTGTGTGTGTGCGTGCTACATTTTGGAAAACCATTTTATATGGTTTTGTTCAGAAACATTTTGCCGTTGCGAGTCACTAGAGTTTTGCTCAAAATTAACTTTTAAATCAAAAGATAAATCAGAAAAAATGAGGATACTCTGTGACATTCACACACTACACTTTTGCCTATCAAGTAAAAAAGAAATCATTTTGAGTCAATGAAACTTTGTACTGGAATACTCATATCAGGCAACCAAACTGTTGTCTGGGAAAAAGAGATACCGGACAAATTCAACAGATGCCAAATCATGGGATGTAATGTGATAATATGATTTGCATGAAGATCTGTCGACCAAAAGTAAATACACATTTTTAAGATATATTTAACATGACAAGGGAATAAGAAGAGATGAAAACTAGCAACCAACATTATTTTAAAACTGGGATGAATTCTCATAACTAAAGTATTTCTCAATTTTATTTGTAAGTATGATACAAAACAATGAGCACAAATATTTTTGAGAAAAGTAATCCAATTTTCCCTCGTTTTAATCCTTAGTTGACATTATATTTTCATACAAAGTTCATTTTTTAAACAAATTTATTCATTCTGCGTAGTAAGAATAGAGCGCAAATACAAATGGCCACAAAAACCCACCTATACAAAAGTATTATTCCTTTATTGCAAATGTGAGAAATATATTAAAATTGATTTTTTTATGTGAACATATAATTAATACAAAAATAAATCACTACACAATGAGCAATGATTATTCGTTTTTAATTTTATGTATACATTTTATATGAGTCATCAGAAAAGGAAATAAGTAATAATTTTTCCAAGTTTTTCTTTGCTCAATATAATTAATATTACATAAATCCTACAGAAGATATCATTTCAGTTTTTTTGCCTCCCTACTGTTTCAAATAATATAAAATATATTACTTACATGCTATTATGTAATATAATCTCACATTATTCTGTATCATGTATTTTCTAATTTACACAATTCATTTATAAATTGAGTTACAAATATGCACACTTCTTTATTCACAAAACTGAATGTTAAACTCCAATTTCCTGAGAGAAAGTACTCTTTATTGGCGATTCTACGAAATCGTAACTTGCATACATTTAAAAGAAATACATTATATCGTTAATTTTGTGTTTCCAATAAAGAAACAGTACAAAAGCACAAAACATTTTGAAAAATATATTGTTGAAAAAATCGTATTCTCATAAAAGGAAATATAAATACTCACGTACAACAAAATAGCGTGATTGTCCCAAGAGTAATTGAGGGCTCGCTATTCATATGTGAAGAGAGATCATCCAATTGGAAACTCCCCTGGTTAATACAAAAAAATCGAAATTCTCTTGTTTGTTAATTCAACGCACAGATGCAAACATCGTGATTTCCCCTTCCTCAACTGAATGACTAGATCAGCCTCCTGTACAACCGGTAGGTTCTCTTTGGAGATTCTCTGCATATATTAAAGGTATAATTACCACTAATATATGTGCAATTCTTCACTCTCTACAAATATAAATGGAAACAAAAATGTCTTGAAAACATCAATATCGTCTCAACATGGGACACTTGTCACCTTAATCAGTCAATCGTTACCACAATAAAACATTAGAGTACTTCAATATTAACAATTTTTAAAGAAGGATTTCTTTCATTCAATACGTACGTGTTCATTATATTTATCACTACATTCATAAAAATCACCATGATCATTGAAATGCGTTCTTGTTTCCGATTAACAGTTCTAAATTTACTAAAGGCAATAACATCTCATTTACCATAAATTGTATATTAATTTGGTCAAATACCCTTGGACATATTTCACTTCATCCTTCAGAGTTATCCCCAGTTTTGATCGTTCTCCGGGATAGTAGCAGTCCTGAAATATTGAAAGCCATTTGAATATTTTAGCTAAATACTAATAAGTTAAAATGAGATGAAGTTCATCAAAAAGAGGGAAAATGGTAAATCCCCTAGCCCAGGAAGTAGTCCTAACGATATAATGCTACAAGCAATGTATTAGAAATATTACAAATAACTTTAATAAGTGGTTAAGAGGAGAAAAGATGTCTAAGGAATGGAAGCAATATTATAGGTATAACATCAATTTACAAAAAGGACAAAAATTGGAGTGTAAAACTTAGAGGAATAAAGTAACTTCATCTAGAGGAAGAATATGGGTGAATTTCAAAAACCAATGAATTGAAAGAGTTTATTACAGAAGAGGAACAAACTGGTTTTATATCTGGTAGACAAAAAATCAACAAAAAAATTTCATTAAGAGCTCTCTCCCTTAATGTCTCTCTTCATCAACAATCATCCCTCAACCGCACAAAAACTGGACACTCCCACGCCTGCAATACTTAGGTTTTCCCTTGGACTCAAAGCTAAACCGATACCAACATTAATACCAATTAAAGCAAGTCAAAAACAAATGACACCAGTGAAAACTTCAGACCAATCGCTCCGTCTACCTCCCAAAAAACTGGAATCATAATATTCAAAACGATAATAAGGCATTTGGTACCACATTCAGCTACTTGGACACCATTTGCAGCCTTTATGGACTTCATATTCCCAAACAAAGGTGGAATTTTAATGGATGACAATGTGCCATGTCTCCGGATCGCAATTATTCGCTATTGGTTTGAAGACCATTCTGGACATTTGCAGCTAATGATTTGCCATCCAGATCGCCCAACATGAATCTCATCGAACACTTATGGAACATAATTGAGAGGTCAATACGTGCACAAAATCCTGCAATGGCCATACCTTCGCCTTTTTGGACGGCTATAAAGGCAGCATGGCTCAGTATTTCTGCAGAGGATTCCAACGACGAGCTGTTACACTTCGCCGGGCCTAATTAGGCCCGAGAGAGTATTAGGAGGTATTCCATGACTTTTGTCACCTTAGGGTAGTATGACAAGTACTTAGAAACAAATATAACCTATTCAATGTCAGGACTGTCAGCGATTCTGTCATCCTAGCCAGTGATGCCAACGTTTCGGCCATCATGCTGCGACCATCCTTTGTTTCGCCCTGAGGAAGATCATGGTGCGACGGCCGAAATGTTGGCACCTGGGACTAAGACGCAGCACCTCCCGAAAGAGGATTATGAGGATACCACATCTAAAAGGCGGCAAATGCGGTGTTACAGCCTGGTACAAAGGATGCCCAGAATTTAAAAACTATTCTAAGGACAACCTTGAAAACCTTTAACAAACATCCAAAGCGATCGATTGTTTAATATTTCCGCATCTAGGTCGCAGTTTACTTCTTCTTCCTCTCGTCTCGTGTATATTTATCAATCTCCTTCCCCACCTCCTTTCCTTCACGCTTTGGGACTTTCCACCACTGCCCTTCGTACATTACACAATAGGAAAATAACCAATCGTATAATATTCCTGATTTAAACAGTTTAGTTTCAAAATAATGCTTATAACATCTCATATGCAAAGTACGACTCTAAATGTCCTTTGAAATTACAATAACGCATCGAAATAAACTAAATCCTCTCAATGTATCTAAAATGAAACTCATCAAAAATGAAGTTATTTAACGTGCAGGTACAAACATTAATTATAGATTAAATAAAAACACGAAGTCTGAAGTGTTTTGGTCACGTGAAAAGGCTTGATTATATGTAATAATGGTCCATGAAGGTTTGTGAGCAGTTTCCATTAGACAGAAGAAACAGAGGTAGATCCAGAGAGGAATGTAGGTATCAAATATTTAAATATACGCAAAGTAGCGGACTACAAGAAAACGACTGGAGTGATAAAAATAATAAATAATTTAATAAAGAAATGTGAATAAATCTATGCCTACTCGCACGTAATGATCTTCTAAAAACCTATCACAGCACATATTTTTTTGTATATGTAGTGGCATATTACTACCCAAATCAACTGAAAAAGGTTAGTTTGTCTTAAGGTGAAACGGTAGGCCATATCGCATCAATGTTAAAACAAGCAACTTTGTGACCCCATTTTTTTCAGGAACTTCTGAATAAAGTTAAATGGATTTTGCATTACTTATTAACTAGTGCATGAAGAGATTACCTATCTTCAGTCAAGTTTTTATCTCAATTCTAAAGCGATTTATATTTAATGAAAAACGATTCAAAAACAATCCTAACGCATGGACTAGAGAAGAAATGACCATGATTGTGGATCCACATTTTTAGTATAATATGGTTTATCATCAATGAAAATTCCATGCAGAGATCTTGAATAGTTTATAAGATAATGGGTCAAACGTTTGAAAATTTTAACTTCTGAGAAAATGGCACTCAAAGTTTTCAGAGAAGTATATGTTAGGATCACTTCGAATATTTTTCACTAGAGAGAAAATAAAGGCAGCCTACATGTGACTAAAAGAACCACCTAAATATGGTTAGTTTGTCTGAAAGTGATAATATTTTATGTCTGGTCACAGAAAAAAAGTAAAGTTATTAACTTTTATTATGGTTTTGATCGTTGAAATCGAGAAAAAGATGTGGAATGGGTCGAAGGATTTTGATCTTTGGTCAAAGAGAAATATGGTAAAACATACGCTCTTAGTGTAAATTCATGGAACCAAATTGAGCGTTTTGTCTTTAAGAAATTTAACAATTTTCCTTAACCTAAGACGATCTCAAAAATTGCCTGTCCAGTTATCTTGCAGAATGTATATTTCCGTAAACTGTTCAGCAGCTATTGTTTGTCATCCAGTGTGAAGAAACTCCCAATACTCTTATAAAATTATATTTTAAACTTAGAACTGCCCCATTTTATTGTCTATGAACTTTTATTTTTTGAAGATCGAAAAGGAAATTACTTTGATAAGAGCCGTACCTGGGGTAATGCAGTATTCTACGAATAATATAAATATTTACCTGTGGATCCTCTGAAAGAATAGCATCTTCTATTGCATCTACAACTTCAAGTATTTTTGAGGGCGGTTTGGAAAATACGAAGAATACTAATTCAACAGCTTTCTGTAAAAATAGATAAAGTAAAAAACAACAACAAACAAAAACATATTTACACGAGTTTTGCATTGATATTCGATAATTCCATAAATAAATTATGTTTAACTTACCATAAACTTTTCTATATACCTGTGACCATAATCATTCATTATTTTTTCTGGTATTGCATCAAACTTCTTTTTGAGCAAAACTTTTGATCCTTCGGCCATAGGAGTCCTAGAAACGAGTTATTGTTATCCACTTAAAATTGCATTTAAACCCTTTTTAATTATTAGCTGTAGCTTGATTTACTCACTAATAATGGTCAAACCATGCATTTATTTAAAGTAAAATACTGCGAATGGACGCGTCAAAGAATGTGACACAGACATTTAGACCATCTTGTCGTGGTCTTCCTCAAGGCTGAAGTGGGCTATGACAATATGGTCTAAATGTCGGCATCAGAGAATTCGACGAGGCCGTAGAAGCCATCCACAACACAATGGTCGTACTGTTTCATTTTGGCATAGGAACAACATAATTGTGAGCGTGAATTCTTTGGAATGTCAATAAAACGACAAAAACTAAACTAAAGTGATTTGTTATTTCTCCACAAATTGTTTTGTAGGATCTTAAAATAAATCAATTTTTTTTCGAAAAGTTTTGAGAGAAAATGGTTTTAATGCAAAATTATTATTATTATTATTATTATTATTATTATTATTATTATTATTATTATAACTATTATTATATGCATTAAACATGTTATTTTTTAGAAATCCTTTTTTTCTTATTATTGCTTCGATATGGAGCTCCAAAAACTACATATGACATACCTGGATCGAGAGGAACGTTGTAACCAGGGAAATATGAAAGGAGTTGAATTACTTGCTCTCTTATGGAAGGAATTGTGTAATAGAGTAATGAGAGGGGAGGATATGGACAGACACACCGACTCACGTTAACGTCCAGTTAATTAGTAAATATGCATTATTAAAATAAGGTAAAAAGTAAAATCTTGTATGTAATATGAGCGTTAACAGTGTCTAATTATCTCGGGCAACTCAATTATTAGAACCCTTATAACGCTCTTTATGCATAACTATTTGCAATGTTTTTAAACAACGAAGAAAAAATTAATTTAGAAAGATCTTATTCAGCTATACCAATTTTTAGAAATCATGTTAATTTTCATAACCGACCGCTTTGAAATGTTTGACAAAGAAATGAAGAACATTACATCACCTCTATTTACACCTCGGAGAAATACAAGCTCTGAGTACATAATACTATTTCAGTTGCCTTGAGAGAAGCATAATTTAGATATTTTAGGTGCTATAGAAATAATTTGGTCTTTTTAGATTCTGCCGAATTTTCATTTTTATAGATGAATATAAGAAAAAACGACATTGATGTATTTTGCGACTGTGAGCATTAGTTCAAGATATATTAAAGGTTTTGATTCCAGTGCTGGAAAGTAAAAACAATATATTTTAGGAAGAAATCAAATAAATACACAATTGAACATAAACTTACATGTAAATTGCAGGTTCAATGCTGTGAACTGAAACAGAAAACTTCGTCATGTCCACTTTCAGACATTCCGTGAATGCTACAGATGCATATTTTGATATGACGTAGGGGGCGAGTCCAGCACATGGCAATCTCCCTAAAATGAAACAAGAAAAATTAACACTAAGGAGAATCCTCAAAATAGCTAAATGAAACCATTTAGACGCAATAAATGTGGCAATATAATTATTGTATTCATTTTTTTACCAGATAATTGGCGGTATTTTGACGTAGTCCTTTCTGTAATCTTGGCATTTCAAATACATCACATCAGTTATTGGATGGAAAAAAGGTGACAAATTTTTTTGTAGATCTGTATTAACGTTCAATTATCGGAATTTTCAAAACAATTAAAACCATTTTCGGTGTTTTCCTACAACTACAATATTGAAGGTTGAGAATTTTTCCTAATGAAATTTGTTTTCCACAATTTGATATTTAATTAATGTATGTTCAACATTTCTTGGAAATATTCGTAATTTTCGCGCAATTTCAAAAGAAATACGGTTATAAAAAAATTCTCAAAATCTGTTACTATGATTTTCTTTAAACTTATTGTTGAGAATTATCTAGCATTATTTAGCATTAGCTAAACTCACTAAATCATCATCAGCGCAATTTCGATATATACGTTTGCTTTTACAATAATTCCCCTAACACAAAAAGTATTTTTTAATCATTGTTAATATTTACATTACCTGCATTTATATTCATTATCCCACTGGTGAGTTCAAGCGCTTCAAATTATTTCTGATTGAGGTTCTTGAAAACGATAAGTTTCTATGAAAATTAATTCTAATTACTCATTTTTAGAAACGCCCAAACGACGTTTTCTGAAAAACAGCGACTTTTTTAATGAAAATGTAATTCTAGTTTTTATTCTTCTATAATACGTTTAAGGTCGTATATCAATTCTCCAATTAGAGGACCGAACAATTAAGAAAATGTAAAAAACAAAATATTATTTTCGGTCCTAAGAGGTTGCAGCTGGGAGGAGGGTGAGGCAATACCCCAAGGAGCTAGCCTAGACTAACGTGCGAGATAGTTTGTGCCATTCTGTGGTACAATTAGTTTTGGCATATTTTAGAAACTTTGTCATGATGGTTTTTCAACATTTTCTAGCCATCCCACGAGCACTTTGTATTAACGCTTTTCACCCTACACACCCTACGAACTTAAATTTACCGTTTGTAGTTTAAAAAAGTCAGTTAAAATGTTCGTATTTGACAACTTTTTTAAAAAATCACTCGAGTTTATTAAGTGTACATAGGCATTGTCTAAATTTCAAAATTAATCTCTGCAAAAAACAGAACAAATAAGTTTCAATGCTTCTTTATTAAAGGTTTCCACAATCTTGTGCTAGTCGACCCTAGAGGAATCTCCCCCAACACGTATTTAGGAAGTTTTACCGTGTACTCGTCATTACAGGCTTCGTATCTGTTTAGTAAAAGAGATATTGATCACAGAACAATTATACACGATTGTATTTAGCAATACATACCGGCTACACTATTAACGTTGACAACTCGCCCCTTAGATTTTCTGAGTAAGGGCAAAAAGGCTTGTGCCACCCTCACTTGGCCAATTGTATTGACATCAATAGTTTTCCTCAATTCTTCAATGTCCATCCACTCAGTCTCGCCGACGTTCAGAATTCCCGCATTGTTGACCACAGCTTGCAACTCTACGAAAGAAAAGTATGTAAGAGTTTTGTTGCAAAAGTAGCTGTATTTGTCATCAATAACTGGAAAACAAGTATAATTGTTTATATTCAAAATAAATTTTAATAATACTTTAATCTATATTTAGAACATGTATCAAATTAAAGGGATGCATCACTACCCAAATAAAAACATTCTCGACGACCGTTAAAAGATGTTACTCTGAAAATATTTTTGACACTCTGAAATAACAATATTATAACTCTCGTTATAACTTATTAGATAGGTTAAATAGTCACCTACTCTTTCGCTTGAACACCTTCGTTTAACAGGCTCAAAAATTGCTGTACAAATTTACTTTTATATACCAAATTTCAATGTTATGATTAATTGTTTTATTTAAAGGGTTAAATGCACGAATATGTTGTGACTTCTCATCGAATTTTCAATCTCGCTGTGAATTTGATGTGGAAAGAACATTTGGCAGATTGCCTGGATGGAAATATAAAAAGAAAAAAAAAGCAAAGAGAAAGAGGAAAGGGCAAAATAAAGACAGAGTGAAAAAAAGAAAAGCGAGAAAGAAGAAAAAGAAGAAGAAAGACGGAGAAAAGGCGTGGGGAGAGAGAAGGGGCAGAGAGTCGGAAAGGAAAAGAGAATAGGGGACTGGCATGCAGTGAGTGGAAGTGAGAAGGAGAGAGAGGAACGAGACGAGAGGGAGAGGAACGAGACGAGAGGGAGAGGAAAGAGACGAGAGGGAGAGGAAAGAGACGAGAGGGAGAGGAAAGAGACGAGAGGGAGAGGAAAGGCACGTGAGGGAGAGGAAACACGCGAGAGGGAGAGGAAAGAGGAAAGGGAGACGAAAAAGAGGAGAGAGAGAGGAAAGAGAGGAGAGGGAGAGGGAGAGACATTCAGGACAAGGAAGTAAAGGAGTAAGAGGCACAAAATATGGTTTGCAAATAAAAACCCTCCAAATATATTTTTCACCCAGCAACGGGATAGTGCTCACCGCATCCGGAGTCCTGCAGGTCCTGTTGCACGGCGCGCGCGGCGGCGGCGACGGAGTCGGCGTCCGTCACGTCGAGCGGCAGCACGCGCATGCGCGGGGAGGCGAGCGCGCGCAGGCTGTCGGCGCCGGCGCCGTGCGGCAGCAGCACGGCACGCGAAACATTGCGCGCGCCCAGGGCGTGGCAGCGGCGCGCGGCGGCGTGGGCCGAAGCCGATTCGCAGCCTACACCCACCGCCCTCCGCGCCAGCGCCCGCCCCGCAGGCGGCGGCAGGGAGCGCGGGCGCCAGCCACCGCTCGGCCAAAACACCCACGCCAGCGCACGCGCCAGGCGCCAACACGGGCCCACCACCTTGCAGTGTCTGCGGCCTTGCCCACCACCACCCAAGCGCCAGCGCCGCGCCCACGCCACGCTGGCGCGCGCACCCACTCGCGCCTGCACGTCATCGCCAACCTGCAAACAACAGCCAAAGACACACCTCACACACATTGGCAATTTTCAGCATCAAGGCACGCCTTAACCAGGCATGCCGCAGTATGCAACACCATCACTCTGCTAGTACCATTAGGTATTTTCTTATAAGGACGTTTGCACCGCCATCGCGCGCCTGCAAACACAATACTCTTGCTCGTTCCATTGGCAATTAAAGTATATAAGTATAACTTTATCTGAAATGTCAAATGGAAACGAGCAGAGAGTGTTTGTGTGAATGTAATATATATTTATATATATATATATATATATATATATATATATATGCGGGAAAAGTTACGTAAAATATTGCCGAATTTGCAAGCAGCTTTATAGGAAGGCTTCGCGACAACCGACAAATAATTCATGTGTTAGATAATCCTAGTAAAAAACAGGCGCTGGCGCGTAAACGGCCCGATTATATTGCAGTTTTGTGGATTTGAAATGGCTTTTGGACTCTATTAATAGCGATGCTTTATGCGAAAACTAAATGAGCTAAGGCGTCTTCATGTAAAGTTTTAAAAAAAGTTGCAGAGCTGTATAAGGAAGAAATTCTGTGTCAGTTGCGGTGGACGAAGTGAACAACGCAAAAAAATTAAAATCGGGACAGTAGGAGTAAAAAACAGGGGTGTCCTCTTTCACCGCTAGCTAGGTTATCTTGTTTATAAATGATTTATATTGACCGTTGGTTACAGAAGCGGATACAGCGCTCCGGTAATGATGCTTGAAATTCCCGACTACTATAGGCTGATGAATTATCTTAGTGTTCGGAGACGATTAAAGGGCTTACAGACAGTTTAAATATTCTAGACGGTATAGTGAGACATTGGGACTAAAGTAAATATTCAAAAAAAACGAAAGTAGTGTTTCAAAGAATGGGTTTACTGTAGGTAGCAAAGAGAGAAATGGTTCTTACGATTAGGGAAGAAATTGACGCCGTCAAAACATACATATTCTTGGTGCAAAAATTTTCCATGGAATGGGATGAATCAATTCACATAAATTGACGCTAAGCAAAGGGAAAGAATTGCGCTCAAAGAAATCGTTTGCGCAAGTGCGCAGGGTTCCGGAATTGCTATAAAAGTGTGTGAACAATGTTCAAAATCTTAGTTCTCCCAAGCCTATTGAACTATGGAGCAGAAATTCAGGGAGTGGATAGGAATAGATCGACCTAGAAAAGCATCAAAAACAGATTATTTCCAAAATTAATTCTAGGAGTTTCTAGTAAGCGCAGCAAATGGCCGGAGGTTTTAAGAGAGGTCGTTAGTATAGGGAATTTGAGAGATTTTTAAAATGAAACCTATATACTTTGGATTGGACACACTTACACATAGTACTTTAGAGTGCAAGGGCAGACAGCGACCATCGCTACGGAGCGTACAAAATTAAACGGGCTACTCGACCGCACAGGTTGAGACGTCTCTCCGGAAATGGTGGGAGATTAGGGGAAAAGCCGTTGAGATAAGAACGGCTTGCGATTCCAATAGGACTTCGGTATTAAAAAGGCAAGAGATCTGGGCAGAACGGCCTGAAAAACTTCCTATAGCTCCAAATCTATGCGAGTCCTTATGGGGATATTGCAAAAACGTTTTCAATACTCTCGGGAAAAGGGACGGCAAGCAGGGGATACGCAATGTTCAGAATTGGGGGAATGGAATAGCAGCGTAATAGGACTAAAAAAGAACCAAGCAGGTAAATTGGCATCTGTGTTGCTCTTGCGGTGATAAGGAAGACTGGAAATCCACAATCTCTTCACATTTTGCCTGTGCAAACCGCAAATCATGGAGAAAAAAATGGGAATGGGAATTGGGCAAATTACTACTCTCCCTAAACAGGAAACACCGCAACCGCTCGCCCAAAACACATTTTCAGGATGATAAAAGGATCAAATATTTAATAGAAAGAAATTAGAGAACATTTTTATGGAAAGGTTCGGACCATTAGGGAGAAACTGATTATTAAGAGTGGGGAAAACAGCACAGGTTAGCTTGAGCCGGGACTAAGACTCGAGAGAAATAAATAAATCAATAAGCTACAATAATGTATAGTTAATCAGTAATTTTTATGTTAAGTTAGTAAACAGTTAGAATTAAGTTCATAAGTCGTAGTCAATTGGTAAGTCTAACAGATCAATATATAAATAAATAACAAAAACTGGCATAGTAATAAGCACATAGGGGGGGGAGTAAGGGATCGAAAAACAAGCAGAGGCGTTGATGCGAAGCGATCTTTTGTTGGCGCTGTTTTGATTCAAGGTGCTGAGAGGCCAAGCACTGGAAGGAACGGCGGACGCCGCGGCGCCAGAAAATAAATAGCTTCTAAAATACAAACGTCGGATAGATTTATTATGTACTCCCGGCTTCTGACGGGCACGTTTTACCCCCTTCAGGGTTTTTTTCCTGATAGCGTACCTTAACTGGTGCCTTTTTCCCCCGCTTTGATGCGATGGGACAGAACCAATTTGGGGTGAATAACACAGAATTTCGAAAGATTAAACGCGAAAGATGTTAGGTATTAGGAATGACTTTAAATGCCTTCGGGCCTAGCCACATAGGATCAAGTAAGCTAATTTGTTTGTAATAATTACCTATTAAATAAAAATAATATATACACACACAAACTTGCAATACGGTGTGGGGCAAATCGTTCTTTACATATCTCTCCTTTTTATTCTTTATGATACCTAAAGAATAAGTTTTTCACTGAAACGTAAACACTAACACTTTGCATATGATCGCATCGCAAGGTGTTTGAGGTGAAATAAGGTGAGCATAACTGCGAGTTGAAAAGGAGTTTGGCAACATTGTAAAATGAATTGTGGACGCGAAGGGCTGGACTTCAAACATGACGTGTTATTATGTGAACGAAACGAGTAAAAAATGTGTGAGGATACGTGTTGTTTTTCACTGTTGGAAATAGCCAACCTTCACATCCACAAGCTTTTTGTTTGAGCTTCTGTTTGAAGGTCCTTAAGACATTTTTATCGCTAGACAGCATTTCTCAAGAGCAAACAATTCATTTTAATTTAACCTTCGAGCACTTTTTTTTGAGATCCGATAACTCGCGCGTCGTATTTGTTACATCATCCAAAAATTTTAGCATTACTATTCTTAATACATATTTTTACTTTCCGTATACTGAAACAGACTCCTCGCCTTCTATTAATTACGTAGAAGGATACATAATTGTGATCCGTTTTCATTTGTTCTATTAGAAAGTGAAGTGTTTATCCAGAAAATTTCCAAACTTAAATACATTTATTGTAACAAAAAAACAAAACAACAAAAATTGCCCTTTGTACGATAACAAGAATCACTTCACACATGTCTCTTCTCTCTTCTAGAACAAAACAATGAAATTTAATAAATGTAACACTTTGTCTATGAAAGAGTGTTAATCAAGCACAGTTTGCAAAGTTCTTGCCAAGGTTACAAACATTAATTTGAATAACATCAATAGAAGATAAATAAATGTACCCTCTCACCTAATTTAACATTATTTCATGTACAATTACACAATATTCCCCTTCAAAATAGTCAAATATATTACACACTTAAATCACTAATAATATAAACACTTAAATCACTACAATGTCTCTCTTGAAAAACAACGTGAAACCTTTACAGCACAAAGAAATATCAAATTGATGCTCGCTGACTTGTTTTTTTCTAAACTGAATTAAGTTTCACACCGAATTATAGTTTCATTAGTGAACCATTTCCATTATAAAAATGATTAAATTCCACTTCCTCCACCCACAAGCACATAATGAAGTGCCATTCTCTCCAAATATCTATTCACACCCAGAATGTTCATAGAAAGGTTTTTAGAAGTGCCGTATTTTTAGCATTTCATTTACGCCCTATTCAATCCACTCGGGCAATGTTATTAGCAAATAATCGTTCGAGGTAGTACTTATCGTGATCTTGTGAATCGGAGTCGTTCTTCTCCGTGATGTCGGGTCGAATCGTGGACTCCCTAGGCCCATGTGTTTGGGGCTTCCAGTCCGGCGCGTCGCAAAAGTGGCCGTTTCAAATCCGGACCCCTGATACATCGGTTGTGGCTGCAGATCCACGATTCAATCACCATAAAGTTCTTTAGCTCCTGAGTGCACCTCCACGCCTAGCTCTCGTTAATCTTCCCCACGTACCGCCTCCTCTGGCGTACGTCGTTCAAATCCTTTTCACTCCTTCCCACCACCTCTCGCTCGCTTCGGTCGGCACGGACACCCCAATTCAAAACGTCTCAGAACGTCTACCTATAAGATATGTGATTGATGACGTCATATTGGTTCCCCTGTGGAACCCCTGAAGTAACATTCCCCGTAGTCGAAAACTGATTGCCAATTTAACTTTTTGTTTCCTGTCCCTAAGAAATTCGCTTATCAACCTCACAACTCTAGCACTAGCTATACTTTTAAATATTGCACATATTTTATGCAATATCGCGCGAAAACTACTAAAACTTTCAAACAAATGTACATGTGCGTATGTTTAGTTGTTAGTACATGTAATTGTTCCAAGACGCCGAAAAAATTCAATATTTCGGCACCAAAGTTTCAAAAATTCAGAGCTCACTGTGATGAAGAACATATGCCACCTTTATAAATATAGTTTATTATATTTTTACAAGAAATTTACAGAAAAAAATGATCCATTTTTGAGATAACTTTTAAAACGTCCCAGTGGTTTCATGTAAAGTACTTTCAAACATGAAAGAAGAAAGAAAAAAATAATGAATTATTTTAAAAATGGCAGAACCTCGATTTGAGGGCAGATCAACAAGGGTATATCCAGTTTGGAAAAAACTCTTAGGCGTAATTTAGGGGGTTGTGTATTTTACAGACGACAGACAGTCGGAGAGACAGATGGAATAACGGAGGGACGGACGGAGGGAGGGACGGACGGACGGAGGGAAGGACGGACAGACGGAGGGAAGGACGGACAGACGGAGGGAAGGACGGACAGACGGAGGAAAGGACGGACGGAGGGAAGGACGGACGGAGGGACGGACGTTTTGAAAAACACACTTTTTCGGCATCAGGGAACCCCATAACGTATTTCTGTTGAAATCTCGAAATCGATTTTCCGCAGCATTACATAACTTTCTCTATACTAGATAATTATTATTCCGTATATACGGACGTATACGACAAAGTAATTAGTGGTGGTGCAGAATTGGCCAGGCTTTATCATATTAGTTCGACCTCTAATTTCGTTGGACTGGCTTAGCATTATGGTCTTACCACATCCTCTTTCCAGCTGCTACCTATATTTAACTCTGTCCAAACTACATTTTTTTAAATGTGTCCAAATTTTCTGTTTTTAATGGAAAAATCGATATAAGAATATTAAAAAAGAGTAAAATCGTGTCATCTATGAAAAATTTCGTTTAAAAAGTCGGAGCCGAGAATCCTAGATCATTCAGCCGATGAATCTACATCGGGATATAACATACCCTACAGCTTAAGGGAGTAATAACTATAGGCGTTGACGCGCCTCGAAACACAAAATAGTCAAAGAATTCAAAGTTCAAACGTGCTTCATTTATCTTCAATAACATTATGTTCTCAGAAATCATACTTTTCGTTGTGGTAAGAACATTGCACTACTGCACAACTCTCTCCATTCATTCCCTTCACCTTGATAGCACTGACCGCTGCCGGCTGATTATGAACAAATCCTAGTGTTCTCGCAATTAACCTGCTGACTTTTAATTAAACATGTTATATGATAAACACAGTAGTAAAATAAAGAATATTTCTGCCATACAGCATTTTAAAACAAGCTTCACTCTCAGCCATCTTCGACTACTGTCCCACATCCTTACACACACAAGTACGCATCTACACATTTTGGTAACTGGCATGTTGAGGGGTTTCACGAAAAATATTGATGACTAATCATACAAAACAGTGTATTATTTCACACGATGTGAGCCCTCACATGCATCGGTGTAATTTCTGTTCAACTAATAATTGTTATATTTACTTTGTCAGATTGCTACATACTGTCCATAATAACATCCAAATTGATCAAATATTACGTTTTCTACCTCTACTCGTTTTCTACCTCTTTTCATTGAGCGCTAAATACACACAATTGTGTTTGTGCATATGTCACAAGGGAATGTGGTATTGAGTGAAAAAGCGATATCCGATGCAATATTCACCCGGCCGCTCCATTCGCTGATATTTGGTGGCCGGTAATGAGACACTTTGGAACCAGCAAAACAGACTATGGGGTTTGATTGTGATAATTGTTCCGACTACTTTCCCACGAATATATTACCTCCAATCAGTATTTCCAAGTTACAATACAGCATGTAATAATTAATTAGGTAACTTCCAATACAATCATCTATCTCAAAAGTCACAGGCGTTCCAATGACAACACTCCACGTGTCATTTATTCCCTGACACCTCGATACCACTTACTGCAGCCGTCCGAGTACGTACTGCTTCTGGCATTACTGCAATTAATCTGCTGTCTGGCATGTTAGCATATTAAAAATTAAACAAAGTAGTAAGGAAGCCGAAGTATTTTAAATCGCTCTATCCCAGCCATCTTCGACTACTTTCCCAGGAAGATATTATCTCCCATCGTTATTTGAAAATTACATTACAGAGGTTTTTAGTTAATTCGTTAATCTCTAATTCGATATATCTCGTACATCATAAATGTTTCAATGATAACACTGAACTACTGCACCCATTAACTCTCGGTCTCCTTGGTTGCAGTTCCGCAGCCGGCCGATTACGAACAGCTCCGCGAGTTACTGCGATTGTCGTGCGTCTAGCAACGAAGCACGCGATACAAATTTTATGAAGTTACTACATACTCACTACTACTTATAAAGTAATTACTACTCTTAACAGACAACCTATAACCCTTCGTTTTCATATTTTATATCGTCTTTATCAGTCATCCCCGACCACCTTTTTTTTAATTTAAGGTCGCATCAAGTACTAGGTCATTAGTGACCACTATTGCGTGTAACGGTATGGTAACTATGAGTATGACACGATATGATGATGACAAGGGTGTGAAATGACGAACAAAATACAACCACGCCCGAGGCGGGACTCAAACCCGCGATCCTTGCTCGAACCCGAGATCGCAACGACACTACTGCCTTAGCGATCTCGGCCATTCGGACCGGCCTCCGACCACTTTCTCGCGGACGTCCAAAATCAAATGCGTTGAGGTGATAACGTTGCACTACTGCATGCTATTCGTTCCCCGTCACCTTGGCGGCACTTACCGAAACCGTTGAACACGTCCGGCCTCGCGGGTCCCTCGACTCAGAGTCCGAGTCGCGCACCGGCGGCGGTAGAGCGGGTGGGGGTAGCGGTGGCGGTGGCGGCGTTGGTGACGCTCACGAGGACTGGTGGCGGCGGCGGCCGCCTGTTTCACGTGCTGCCCGGAAGTGAAAGTTGACTGCGGACACGTGCTGCGGTGGGAGAGCGCACGATTACGGCGGACACCAGGAAGCTTTTGATACGCATTGCCGAGTACTTACAAATGCGAAGGTGCTCGGTGAACGTTCTGCTGAACGAAGCTGTTAAATACCGACAAATGGATCAGGGCCTGATGGGATGGGACAGAGCCTGCTTTGAACGGAAGACACGCTTGGAAGAGAACTTATATACATAAGCAGCAGTGACGACCAGGGCTGAATTTAAGGATTGGACGTAGGCTGGAGATCAACAAATGAAAAATATACAAATTAGCTCAAAGTCGAAATGTTTCGATCAAAAATAACATTTCTTTACGCTAAAAATAACTAAATCTTGCTTATATCATCCTTGCATTTTTTTCTCGTTTGTACGGAGTCAGCGCTAATGAACACAGGCTCAGTTTTTATTGATTTTCCACACACTTCATTTTTATCATCGATTGGCCATGTGTTTCCGACTGACTGCCTTTCCTAACACCAACCACAGGGGACATAGACAACACACACACAATCGCGAAGCACACCCAACCATGCCCGTGGTCTGATTCGAACCCACGATTCTTGGGTCGAAAATGGCACTACTACCTTATCGATCTTGGCTGCGCGTTGCGCTAAACCGCTACGCTGCTGCTCTTTGGCCGCCAGTCATTCCACGTCGTATTGATGGAACTTCCCGCAGCCGGCCAATGACGTCCCGCATCAAAGCTTCTTTGATCCTGCCTTCCAGAGAGCAGCGGCGGCGGCGAAGGCGGTGGAAGTGAAAGTCCTTCAGTAACATCTCAAATCTCCAAGTCTCCCATCTCACAAAACAAACACCAACTGCAAATGCAGTATTGAAGTTATTATGAAACTAGAGGGGCTAAAATAGCACAACTTTCTCGCCCATATTTTCACGAAAAATTACGCGAAAAGTACTTAAATTTACAGACAGAGACAGAGAGTAAGACAGAGGCAGACAGACAGTGCCGACAGAGACAGAAAAACAGAAACAAAAAAAAGAGACAGAAAACAGAGACAGACAGAGACAGACAGAGGCAGACAGAGGCAGACAGAGACAGACAGACAGACAGAGACAGACAGATAGAGACAGACAGACAGAGACAGACAGACAGAGACAGACAGAGACAGATTAATAAATTGTACACTAATAAATTAATTATTAGTTGCAGATTAACAGATCTGGCGCCGAACGTATTCTTCTAAAATGAGCAAGGAGTTTGTAACAGTTCCGTTAGAATCTGTCTTTTTATATTTATAAAATGTGCAGATATTGTTTAAATTGAAAGCCATGTATTTTCGCATGTTGCAAGCTCTAAAAATAATAGTCAATTTCAAAAAGCTCTATCTCCTAAACCATTTAAGCTAGAGCTCTGAAATTCGCACACATGATTGTATACTACTCCTTGAGAGAATAGAATTTCTCGTTTAATCAGAACCTGCTTGAAATGGAAATTTTCTACACTTCTATTTGGAACAAATTGACATTTATAGCGATATTTTTGCGATTTTCTAAAAAACAAAGTTTCTAATCAAAAATCGGTATCATCAGTGTATTTCCCATAAAATTTCATGCTAAGTCCATTGTTTTCAGAAAAATCCGTCATATGACGAAAATCGGAAAAATTCGTCGATCGAAAATTTCATGGATCGACGAAAATTTACATTTTTTTACACAAAAATTAAACCAGCATTGTTCACAAACTATGTACCATGAATCAAATCTAGACACATGGATGTGTTTTTAAATTTTTATGTATTTAAAAAATGCCATTCTTATATACGAATGAGAAAGTGACCTCTAGGAACCTTCAATTAAGAACCATGTATTTTCGCATGTTGCAAGCAATAAAAATTATAACCAATTTCAAATAGTTGTATCTCCTAAAGTATACAAGTTAGAGCTCTGAAATTTGCACACATGGTTGTATGTATACTACTCTTTTAAGTGAATCTTAAATAGAGTTTCTCGTTTAATCAGAAATCAGTTAGTACATGAACAAAATTGAGCCCGACATGAGAATTTTGGTGAAAAAATCGGTAAAAAATGTTTTCCTCACTTCTTTCTGACATCGCGTAGGTAAATACAACTCTCTACGAGAAACACAATGGAGCAAATCAGACTTCAATACCACTAATAGTTAAGGAAATACGCGTTAAACAAAATTGAGCCCGAATTGAGAAATTTTGTGATAAAAACGGAAAAAAGATAATTACCTCGCTTCTTTCTGATATACCGTATGTGATTACAACTCTCGACGAAAAATACAATGCAGCAAACTAGACTTCAGTCCCACTATTAGTTAAGGAGGTTCGCCTGAAAAAATAATTAGCCCAATGTCAGAAATATGGTGAAAAAATCGGGAATTTCTGAAATCACGTTTGTAAATACTATCCCCGACGAAAAATTCAATGGAGAAACCAGACCTCAATCCGACTTTTTATTTAGGAAATGCGCGTTAAACAAAATTGTGCCTGAATTGACAAATTTGGTGAAAAAATCAGTAAAAATTTACTTTCGTCGCATCTCTGAAATCACGTATGTAAGTACAACACTCGACGAGAAATGCAATGGAGGAAATCAGACTTAAATACGACTATTAGTTTAGCAAATACGGGTTAAAACAAAACATATTTAAATTAAGAATTTTAGTAAAAAATCAGTAAAAATTTAATTTCGTCGCTTCTCTCTGAAATCACGTATGTGAGTACAACACTCGACGAGAAATTCAATGGAGCAAACTGGAATTCAACCCGACTATTAGTTTAGGAAATACGCGTTAAAACTAATTGTGTTTTAATTAAGAATTTATGTGAAAAAAATCAGTAAAAAACAATTTCATCGCTTCTTTCTGAAATCACGTATGTGAGTACAACACTCGAAGAGAATTTCAATGGAGCAAACCGGACTTCAATCCGACTATTAGTTTAGGAAACACGCGTTAAAACTAATTGTGTTTTAATTAAGATTTTATGTGAAAAAAATCAGTAAAAAATCAATTTTGTCGCGTGTTTCTGAAATTACGTACGTGAGTACAACACTCGACGAGAAATTCAATGGAGCTAACCACAATTTAATACTTTTGTCGATCGACGAAACTTTACATTTTTTAACACAAAACTTTATCAGCAAATTTTATAAACTATATACCATAAATCAATTCTAGACACATAGATGTGTTTTTAAGTTCTAGTAGATTTACAAAATGTCATTTTTTATATACGGATGAGAAAGTTGGCTCCTAGGAACCTAAAATGAAAGCGATGCATTTTCGCATGTTGCATGCTTTAAAAATAATAGTCAATTTCAAATAGCTCTATCTCCTTAACTATTTAAGCTAGAACACTGAAATTCGTACACAAGGTTGTATGGATTCTACTCTTTACGGTGAGTCTTAAATAGTTTCTCGTTTAATCAGAACTTGCTATAAATTGACATTTTCTACAGTGCTATTTGGAAGAAATTGACGTTTATGGCGATATTTTTGCGATTTTGAAAAAAAGCTAAGCTTCTAATCAAAAAATGGGTATCAGCAGTAAATTTGCCATAAAATTTCGTGCTAGGTCGGTGGTTTTCAGAAAAATCCGTAATATGACGAAAATCGGAAAATTTCGTCGATCGACGAAACTTTACATTTGTTAACACAAAAATTAAACCAGAATATTTCACAAACTACATAACATAATTCAATTCTAGACACACGGATGCGTTTTTAATTTCTTGTAGATTTAGGAAATGTCGTCAATTTTTATATACGGATGAGAAACATTCGCTACGCAGTAGAGAGGAAGTTACGTAATGCTGCGCGAAAAAACGGCGAATTTTCTGCAGAAATTCACACATCTTAGCCATATCATAATAAATATACTATAAAACCTTAATGCATAATTCAATTATTATATAATCCATTCCATAATACCATGTATGGGCACGTGCCAATGGCGGCAAACATTTTGGACTAAAGTTGTGTCTAAAGAGCATCTTCCTCATCTCCTTCTCGGACGATGGGCGATTTTTATTTTTTTAAATTTGTGTTCTATGAGTTTTTGAACAGTGATTAAATATACGCAAATTCTTTTTGTTAACAGGCTGATGATATCTTCTGATATAAGACTTGTGATAAGTGAAATTGAGTTAATTTTATAGTGAGTATGATTATTTTAATAAGTAAAGTTATACAATTAAACTATAATTACAATTACCGAAAATGAGTCATGTTGCCTCGATTCCAGTGATCGCAATTCTTAAAACTTTTAATTATCTGTTGTTATTACTGTTTCCGGATCAGCGAACATACAGGCAGATTGGGAGGTTTTACAACCCGGTCAGTAAATAGTTATTAATATTATAGATAATAAATTATTCTAATATGCTCAAAGATTTTAGAAATCATACGCATTCAATTACACGTAATTTTAATAAAGAAGTTTGGAGATATCTTATTACCTAGTGTTAAATGTAGACATCTACTTTATTTTAAGATTTAAAGGTAGAACTATGGTAGAATTATAAATACGCATGATGAATTTGTGTAATTTCAATGCATAAAACATTTGATTTCAAAATTAATTGATTTTCTGTAGGAAAATTTGAACACGCATAAATTATTAATTAAATCGTATTTAATTTTAGTCATATATATGTCTTCAATTTTTAATCATAAATTATATTTGTTATTGTATTTAACTTTTTGTCCTGCGTTCTTTGATTAGCAGTAGTTAATTCGCCTCTAGCCATTGTTACCCTATTAATAGTTTCTTTCTCATTTTCATTATTTAAATTTTAAATGTCACTTGACTTTGTCTTTTTACAATTATGATCTCTAACGTCTATTCACTTCCTTTATGACGGTAACAGCAAGCGTGGTCGTCATAACTGCTGATAAAATTCCATTTCCGTTTTGACTTCTTACGACACCATGCGTTTCGCTTGTAATGCCTTTCGCAGCAGGTGTCGTGCTACTAGCAGTGACCTCAGGCAATTACAAATGCTTCCAGTACAGGATGCAAAAATATTGAGTTCGCAGGGAAGCTACGTTCCCTGGGGAGCGTGGTG